ATTTTTGTGGCTGGTACAAATTCATATAATCCACTCAAGCCAACATTGGGCTGTATGATTCGATTTTCGTCTAAGGCAATTTTATTCAAATCTGATTCAATAGGTTTCATTTCAACAGGTTGCAGTCCTTGATTCTCTACTGCTACATTTTCAGCATCATCACTTGTACTTAGAGATGTAGGCGGTGACATATAATCCGTAGGATAATGTGACTGCACTGTTGACACCTCAGCATCAGAAATTAGTGATTTTATTCGATCTTTTGCTTGCTTGTTCTTTGTTTTATTAGATTTAGATTTACTTGGTTTTATTGGATTTTCATCGATATGTTCTTTATAGATTTCATAAATTGCTTTTAGATTCATAGCACCATGGGACTAGAAAGAAGATCGAATGTTAACAAAAATAATATTTTCAATAAACCTTTTATTCTGTGCAAATATACCTCTAACTCTGACTTTATTCTGTCTATATCACTGAAGGAGTTTACAACAGCCATATATTTATGCTCTTTTATCAATAGCGCAGTTCTTATACTTTCCCATGACTTTCCATAGACATCACCATAGAATTCATCAAAATGTTTCAGTGCTTTGTCCATGTGTGTCTTTTTCTTTTTAATCACAGACTTAACAAAGAAAAAGGATTAAATAGACATTATATTTAAAATCTTACAAATGTTTATATTCTTTATTTGTAATCGGACGGCAATTAGTTATAAATATTTTTTAAAATATGTATAAACAAATAAAAATCATTATAAAGCCTGTGAAGGCTACAATATAAGGCACTTACCCAATGATCCGCTTTATTTCCATATCTGGCTACCTGTATCTTAGCCAGGTCTTTAATCGCCTGTCTGTTAAATAAACGTGCCATTTTTTCATAGTAAATTTATATCCTATTATTTAAATCACCGGCTCTCACCGTGAGATTTCATCCTAACCTTAACTTTACAGGACAAGAAGGAAAGAGGAACAGTAAAAAAGTGCAGTATAAAAGATAGCGGTGTAATAATACAACCAATCATAAGACCGTTAACCTACGATAGCCAATCAGACGATACTTCAAATATATAATAAGTAAACGGTCTAGAAAATCTACAATCCTGGTTCACAACATTCGGAGCAATTCGGAGGGAAGGTAAGAGCGTCATGTTATCATTTACATACAATTTTATGCTGTTTCGAATAATTTATAGCTTGTAAGAATCGTGTATTCTGTGTTACAGTAAAAATAGTATAACGCAGCATATCATATACAAATAAACTAAGAGGAAGCTGAAGGAACCGCAAGACCCAACAGAATCCCTCTAACCTCCTAGTCCATCATGGAGAAGTCGCAGAAGATGCCGAAGGTAGCGAAGGTGAAGAACAAGGCGCCCGCGGAGATACAGATCACCGCGGAGCAGCTGCTACGCGAGGCGAAAGAACGCGACCTGGAGATCCTGCCGCCGCCACCGAAGCAGAAAATCTCGGACCCGCACGAGCTCGCGGATTACCAGCATCGCAAGCGCAAGGCATTCGAAGACATCATCCGCAAGAACCGCATGATCATCACCAACTGGATGAAGTATGCGCAATGGGAGGAAAGCCAGAAGGAGATACAGCGAGCGAGATCCATCTACGAGCGGGCGCTCGAGGTGGATCACCGAAACATAGCGCTGTGGCTCAAGTACACTGAGATGGAGATGCGCAACCGACAGGTGATTATAAATCATTCTATTATTCTTGCATTCTTGTCATTGTAATATAATACTTTTATTGTTCAAATATTTATCATTTTTTATTTTTGATCAATCCACATTGGACTTGTTAACTCTAGAAGACACCTTCTAAAATCCTAAAAATATACATTGTGTATGTGTTCTAGGAATAAGCATCCAAAAAATGTTTAATACATCTAAAAACATCCATAATTTAGGACATCGCAATGTTTATGGAATCAAATAAAGTGTACCATGCCATAGAACAATTTAGTATATAAGATCCAAGCTTTACATAATAGATTTGTCTTTTATTCTTGCATTAAGCTGTACTAGAATTCATTGCTTTTGTCAAACATATATCTATCTCATTTTAAGTTCAAAAATATATACAAGAGCTGTGTTTTAAAATTCACTGCCAGTGCTGAAAATGTATAGTAATGTAATGTATACGTAATGTAAACTGTAGATTTTCAGTGCTAGCAGTGGATTTTGAAACACAGCCTTTTCAGTCATAGAAAACAGAAACTAATTATGCAGCATTATTTTTACACTTGTAAATTTTTGTAATGTTTTAAAGTTATGACATATGACTAGCCAATGTCAGCTTGTTATGGTACTAACTTTTTACTTGATTTATATATCCTTTAATATATTAATATATATTGATAGGTGAATCACGCCAGGAATCTCTGGGATAGAGCGGTCACCTTGCTGCCACGCGCCAATCAGTTTTGGTACAAGTATACCTATATGGAGGAAACGTTGGAGAACATTGCAGGTGCGCGTCAGGTGTTTGAACGATGGATGAAGTGGGAACCGGACGAGCAGGCCTGGCAGACGTATATTAAATTCGAGCTGCGTTATAAAGAGATCGATCGTGCGCGACAAATCTACGAGCGATTCGTCATGGTTCATCCTGATGTGAAACACTGGATAAAGTACGCCCGCTTTGAGGAGTCGTATGGATTCATCAAGGGCGCGCGCGCTGTTTACGAACGCGCTGTCAATTTTTATGGTGACGAGGGTCTGGACGAGAAGCTGTTCCTGGCGTTTGCGAAATTTGAAGAGGGTCAACGAGAGCATGATCGAGCCCGCATAATCTATAAATACGCGTTGGAGCACATACCGAAGAGCAACACTCAGGAGATCTACAAAGCATACACGATCCATGAGAAGAAGTATGGTGATCGCTCGGGCATCGAGGATGTGATAGTTAGCAAACGGAAGCATCAGTATGAGCAGGAGATCAAGGAGAATCCTTCGAATTACGACGCATGGTTTGACTATCTAAGATTGGTGGAATCAGAGGGTAACGTCGATGTGATCCGTGAGACGTACGAGCGAGCGATCGCCAATGTGCCACCCACTAAAGAGAAGCAATTCTGGCGAAGATACATATATTTATGGATCAAGTACGCTCTCTTCGAGGAACTGGAAGCCAAAGATATCGAACGGTGTCGACAAGTATATAAAGTGTGCTTGGAGCTCATACCACACAAGCGATTCACCTTCTCGAAGATCTGGCTGCTTTATGCGTACTTCGAAATACGACAGAAGGATTTGATGAAGGCGAGAAAGACGCTGGGCCTAGCGCTGGGAATATGCCCAACAGATAAGCTTTATCGGGGCTATATCGACCTCGAGATACAGCTGGTGGAGTTCGATCGGTGTCGCAAATTGTACGAAAAGTTCATCGAGTTCGGACCGGAGAACTGTACCACGTGGATGCGATTTGCTGAGCTGGAGACACGACTAGGCGAGTTTGCTCGCGCTCGGTCGATATATGAGTTCGCTGTCGCGCGGCCGAGATTGGACATGCCAGAGCTATTATGGAAATCGTACATCGATTTTGAGATCGCTCAGGATGAGACGGAGAACGCTCGGCAGCTGTTCGAGCGATTGCTGGAGCGCACGTTGCACGTTAAAGTTTGGATAGCGTACGCAAAGTTCGAACTGTTAAATCCGCAATTGGAGGATAGTCCCGATAATGTCATCTTGGCGAGATCTATCTTCGAGCGCGGAAACGACGCTCTAAGAGCCAACGGCGATACCGAGAGTCGAGTGTTATTGTTGGAAGCTTGGAAGGACTTTGAAAGCGAGAAAGGCACTCCTGAAACTCTCGCGAAGATTATGGAGAAGATGCCGCGTAGGGTAAAGAAGAAGAGGCGCGTCGTAGGTGAAGATGGAAGCGACGACGGCTGGGAGGAAGTCTTCGATTTCGTATTTCCAGAGGATGAGTCGCAGAGGCCAAATCTCAAATTCTTGGCTTCCGCGAAAGCGTGGAAAAAGCAGAGTGAGCAATCTCAATCTTGAGATAGTTAAATTTCACTATGATAAAAAAGGGTAACATATACTTTAAAAGGATTTCAGATTGAGAAAATTTCTCTAAAACTTTATGACTGTAAAAGTCGCGGATGTTTTATATTACTGTAGATGAAATGAGAGCATGTGAAAAGTGGATTGTTTATCTTTATGTACATATAAACTGTGATATTTTACTATCATGAGAAAAACATTTGTACGTGCCGTTTATGTAAATAGTTCATGTAAAATTTATTTTAATTTATACAAATAAGTGTAAAATATATACATTTTGTTCGAAGACTACTGGTCTTTGTATCGAGTTCAATTATAAATTGATTTAGTTATTATTTTAATTAAAAAAGAAATATTTCAGATAATTCTTAAAAATTGATTTAAATTAGGTTGAAAATACAATATAATGTAGTAAAGGACATTTTAGCTGTAAAAGTATATACACAAAATAACATAGAATGCATTTTGATTAACACAAATATGAGAACATTTGTATGACTCGCGCAAATTGATTTTACTATTCGCCACTAGATGGCGTAGGCTGTCTATCTGTTGCGTTTGGCGATTCAAAAGAAGCTAATTACCGCCCATAGATGACACTCGTGATATTGTCGCAATTCGTAGACCTCGTGGATTCTACGATTCTCTCCTCTCGTCGGTGATATCGTATTGCGATTCACCGTTAGCGTATGAGCGAGAGGGAGGGACAGAGTGGGACGGCGGGAGCACAGGAAGAGAAGGGCGTGAATCGCACGAGCACGCAGGTAGAGAAGCGAACGAGCGAATCCATGAGTTACGGTACTACCCGTGCTACCCGCGTCGTTTTTGTTTATCCTTTCGATTCCGCGGACGGCCGTCTCGTCGCGTCGCGTAATTGCGGGAGCTATTTGCGCTTCTATTGTCCGCTCCATTATTCCGCGTACTTTGATTGCTCTTACCATGTTCTCGATAGCTATCGTCGACAAATCAAACTTAATATCACGATATAGAAATTTGCGATATCCGTAATCTGCGCGCGTCGATCCCGCAAAACGTCAAATTTAGGACACCAGAAAGGGAGGGAAACGTAACAGCGGGAATAAGGTGGTTGCCCCCTCCCCCCCTCCCCAAGGAACTCGAAAGTAGGGGAGCGCTAACTACGAAAAGTAAACTGCGCGTTTTCCTAACTTCCTAGTTAGATCAGGTCGTTCACACCTGCGCATCTCGCGCGAGACACCACAATAATCCCGTCAACCGTTATTCATTATAAACACGCCTAAAGATCTTCCCTTATCGGACTACCTCGAAAAGTCTATAAATAGCACGAATGACTCTCAAGTTTCTATTACAAGACTTCCCCGTCTTCCTTCTCCCTGTCCGTCCCACCATCCGCCGATCCCTCGAAGTGACGAGTCCCCAACTCCCAAATGGAACTCTACCACGCGGTTCGCCTATCGCCAACGACCAACGAGCCAGGAAACAGAACAGGTAAATACGCCATCCGTGATCCGCGCGTTGTTATCAAACGCCGACGCGACGAGGAAGCGACGTATTTGTCGCGACATGGTTCGCGCGCGCAGGCGAGCGCGAGGACACGGGGAGTCGGGACGGGACGAAAGGGTTAAGGGGGGAGGGTGCGCAGAGCGAGGTCACATCCGAGTCTCCCTCCCAGCGCGGAGGCGGGCGGCATGCGGCATGTGAAACGTGGCTGTTTCGAAAGTCCCTGCGCGTTAGCGCGCCTATTTTAGACGCGCGGGGCGCTTTGCCGGCTTTGCCGCTTTGCCGCTTTGCCGAGAGACTCGAGACGTGCGTCGTCGCGAGAGAACAGAATCTCGGTTTCTCTATGTACTCGCCGAGAGCCGAGTTTCAGGAGGGGTACGCACGAACCGAGAATCGAGGGATTCTTCGTGATACCAGATGTATTTCCCTGTTGGAGAATCCACGAAGTGGTAAGGAATCACCGAAGTAGAGTTAAACTCTCTCGCGTATTAGAGATTAGAACAATTCATTGACGAGACGTTGATTAAGCATCGATATAGGCATTCGGGATAAATATTGTGCTCCTTGAGCGAGGCTCCTTGAGTGATGGCGCATAAAAAAAACTTAAGCAATAAAATGTAAGCAATAAGGGGCTGCACACAATGAAAGGAAGACGAAGCAGAGAATGAGAATATTTCAACCTCATCGTTAGAAACTATGTACTATGGAATGCACAGTTTTTGAAATTTTTCTGATTGTGCGCAACTCTTAAGGAAATTAATGTTGGATTTGCTATTGTTTACAATTTAATGCTTAAATTTTTATTTATGGCCCTTAGGATTGCGAATTGAGGATTAGAACTTAGCCAATCAGGACAAAACGAATTAAAATTATCATTTTCTGATTGATCAAATTCTAATTTCCAATGTGTAAAGCGACACGAGGTTTTCACAAATTGAGAAACGATCAAGTTAATCATTCGGTCAAATACATATATTCAGATATTTGTTCGGAGATTATAGAGCTGCAGTCTCCGGCTGCGATTTCTTTCTTTCCACGACTTTCTTCTCGATCTCGCTTGACTAAACGTTTGATAACCCCGTAACCCTCGAAACGATCAACCACAGCGGTAAGTGTCTTCGCTAGACTCACCGACGATTGCGAGAAATGAGATGAGAACACCATCGGTTTCCAACTCTCTACCTTCTCATAAGAAAAGGATGGTTTCGCCACCGTCGACACGAAAACAAACGGGGTATATACCAGGGCACCCCGTCGTCGACACGCGAGATGTGTGCGTGTGACTTCCCTGGAGTCTCGACGACCCGAATCGCTCGACGGCGAAGCTGGTTTCGTGGATCTCTTCATGAGAGGCACGTCGTGCGCGATTTGTCGAGGGAGAGAGATAGAAGGAAGGGGTGGAGGGGAGGGCACGGGGTGTGACGGGACTCGGGGGGTTCGTAAAGGCAATGCACTGTAAGGAGCTCACAACGACCATACCCTCCCTTTCTCCTTCTTGCCTCCCCCTCCTCTCTCCCTCCTTCTGACTTCTCGCTCTCTCTCCTCTCTCGTCGCGCGACTTTCTCTCTGTCCCGCTCTTTGACTCTTCGTCTCTTCCCTCCTCTCTCTCTCTCGTCTCTCTTTCTCTTTCTCTATTGGTGCCCTCTTTCCTCCCCACCCCCTCGCTCTATCTTTCTCTTCCTCATTCTATGATTTCTTGTCTGTCCTTCTCGCTTTATCATTGCCTCTTCTCTTCTCTTCCCTTTCTACACCTATCTGTCTATCCTTCGACCATTCTGCCTCTCTCTCCCCCTTCTATCTCTTCCTTTCTCTGCCGCCCTCTCGCTCGAGGAGGGCTGAGGAGGGCGCATTGGGGCGCGCTCGCTACTTGTGCATCACTCGTGAACAACCGTCCCGACTTGAGCCGATCTTCGACTCGAGTCGAGGGATCTCTCTCGCTCGGGTAATCCAAGGCTCTTTTTTTTTTCTTCTTCTTTCAAGTCGATTTCTTTAGCCGCGATTTTAAAGCCGAGGAACGGGATCGACTGATACGCCGATACGCTTTTAGAGCATTCCGCGTATATTTAAAATTAAGGTCAAGCGAGAGTCGCTCTCGAGGGGCTGACGAGATTAAATACTCCTTATCGCCGGAGAATCAACGTCGTGCCGCAATTCGTTTAGCACGAACACAGCGGCCATCAGTTATCAGTCACTTGAATTCAAATTTATAACCGAAAGTGTATGAATTGCTGAGATTCAGGTCGGCAGATCGAGAGTGCACACATTCATGCGAGGCGGGACGTCCGGGGCCAAAGGACTCGGAAGTTACGACATCCGGCGTACAATACCGCTTCCTGTCACTCGCGACCTTTGATCTCCGTTTGTCCCACGTGCGATGCCACCTCGTTCACATGCACAATAACTTTGTACAACAAGGCGCCATGTCGCGACGAATCCCGTGGCGATCGATGGGTGAAAGAAGGAAACAGACTTGTGATAATCGAGTGAAAGAGACGCGTGCATGTATATTAACTTACACGAGTCTTGAAAAATCAAAAGCAGCTACGAGACATTATGTATGTACTTGTAGACCGGTTCGTTTCTTATTCTTACTTCAAGACTGTCTTAAGATGTTAATATGGCTTTTGTGATTGCTTCGTGACTTCTTAAGACAGCCTTGAACATGGTATATATTATATAAGACAGCTACAACATTGCGCACAATGCTGATAATAATATTGGAAACCATCAAATTTAAGCCCAAATGAACTGTCCTGCGTTAAAAAAAATGTATTAAATCTTAATATATATTTCTTTATATATAGTACTATCTAAATATAAACTTACAGGAAGTAAATATTTACTCAATAAAAAAATGATAGTTAAATCAAATTAATGGTTTTGTATCAAATAAATGTTTACATGTAAGTGTACTTACTTATTCAAACATATATTTATTAAAATTTAATATTTTTTTAATGTGTATACAATGACAGTAACATATCGGAACAATCAAATTTGAACCCCCCTCCCAAATTTACTTTCTTACTGCACATGCACCTATCTTATTACGTCATGGTCTTAGAATCGATGTAAGAATCGACTATGAATAATAAGTCCTAGAGTTCTAGATAGATAGAAAACAATGGAATGACACCTTTGCGGAAGTTTTTTTTTTTAACGATTGTCGCTTCGCGCTTGAATAACGGTACTTAATCGAATAAACAACGGTACATAGAAAACGATCGCGAGAGGGGGTTTATCCTCATTGATCTCGAAAGTCTCGGGGCTTTTCATGCCTGTGGCGGGGAAGACTTTCCACGCGCGACGCGCTGCTCCGATTTCAAAAGGCGTCGACAATGGATGATTGATTCCTTTAGATCGTCACGCGCGGTTCACGCCGGAGAAAGGCTCGGCGAAAGGATCCGGGGGTCTTGGAGACCCTTATTTACCGTTGCCGGTAGGGCCCAATCCTGGGTACGTCACGTGCCAGTGCAATATGCTATACTATGCCATGTCGACGACGACGACGAGTTGAGAGTTGTTACTTGCGTACATACATTGCGCCTCTGTGCGTCGTCGGGGTCGTTGAACGAGCCAGGGGGTACTCACGACGAGGACGACAGTAACGACCAAGCGAGTGAACGCCAACCCACTTGTGCCGACCCTGGACGCGAGTCACGTGCATACGTGTACATACAGAGCCCGGCAATAATGCGACCCGGAGGGTGTGACCCGTTCCACATGTCCGACTCTTGCACTCTCTCCCTTCCTCCCTCTCTTTCTCTCTCTCTCTCTCTCTCTCTCTCTCTCTCTCTCTTTCTTTCTTTCTCTCTCCTTCCCCCCTTTCCTTTCCTCCGCCCTCTCTTTGTGCTGGTTGAAACCTCGAAGAATACAAACGAGAAAGATTAAATCCCCCAAATTGATAATAGCTACGTTCAGCAGAAAAAGTACTTTGCGACTATCTAATGACGAATTGAATTGGAACAACTAGTGCGTACTATCGTGTATATTAAAGCTGTTGTATAGTGATTTAATTTAAGTGTAAAAGTGAAATGCAAATATTTCAAATTATAAAATACATATTTTATCTAATAATACAATAAAATGTATTGAGTATTTCAGGATTTAATCGATTTCTATGTTTATGTATAAACGTATCTTTACATTTGTCATTTTGTGTATGATGGCTTTAATGTGTACCCAATCGAATTCGCTATAAGATTTCCTTAATGTGATTGGTTTACGTATTTAATTTAATGAGCTAAATTAAGAACAAGAGCAATCATATTACAGAATTTTTGTAATTGCAAAATTATTTTTCTTGTTAAATAGAACGTCAATATAGTCTCAGCTAGATTCATTTTAATTTTAAAATTCCCACGTCTTTGTATTCAAATTGAAGTTAAAAATAATGTATAGCGAAAGATCGAAACGTGCATCCATTTCTCGGGTATTTGTTAAAACTCGTCGCCTCTTTCGTTCGAAATTCATTATCTTATTATTGAAAGAAATTCATTCTTAAATAATTTCAAATGAAAAGAAAAATGATACGTGAATAGTGAAGTTGATACTTTATCATCGTAAAAGCGGTATCCTATATCCGAACATTTTTGGATAAAAATACATCTTGTCAGCCATTCCTCATCCTGTTCCTCGTTTTTCGAATACCCGGAATTATTCTCTGCATCTCGCTTCTCTCACTCGCTTCTCTCTCTCTCTCTCTCTCTCTCTCTCTCTCCTTTCGATATACGACGATATACGAGGACGAAAGTAGGTAGGTAGGTAGGTAGGTGGGCAGACGGAAGTCAGTTTAACGGTATCATCCGAGAGAGTTCAGTCCGTGGTTCAGTTCGATCCTTGGCACGTGGAATGGGGTTCGATGAAATTTCTGAGATCTCTCTGCGCGATGCTGCGTGCTCTTCTTCAGGATATAGCACCCTGCACGAGTGAAAGATTGCAATTTGATATGCTTTCAGAATGATCATCATATAATTTCTTTTCTTGAATACCCGATCCTAATTGAAACGCAGTACTATGCAGACTATGCATATATTTAGAAACTTTCTAATTCTTTCAATTCCTTAACTCTTTAATCAACATCTTATAGAGAGCCGTATATCTTTGATACCCTAACATAGTCCACCTGGTCAATTTAATATTCATCGCAATAAAAAGAAGCATCACACTGAAAGTCTAAGAGCAGTTGTAGTAACTAAATTACGTGCGCAATAACTGCGTTCACATACGCATTGCTCCCATTAGTTACGTACTCTCTTTCCATTGTGATTCCATCAAAGAGGCTTTTTTCATTTTGATCGTTATTCATCGTCTATCTCTATTTAATGTCCTCTGTTCCTTCTCTTTCTTCTATTACCCGGATTTAAATCGTTAGACGGCCCTTATTAAGATTTCTCCACGAAAAGGTCAGATGACTTTCGAAGGGGCGATTGTGCCCCCATCCGCACGGGGTTGTCGGGGGAACAATGAGACGGGAAAGAGGACGTTGACCTTTACGGCGCTCCCACACTACATTACGTCAGACCACGTCCGCCGCGTGCCTGTCTCGTCCTCTCGGTGTTTTATGAGCACTTCGAGCATGGGGTTGCACCTTGCGGAGATATCATTTCCGATATTTCTTCGAGAAAAGAGCAGAGGAAAGAAAATACGTGGTAGCAGGTCCCTATGACGATTTAAAAAGTTTGATATCTATAGATTCGTCAAATTAAGTTCCTCAGATTACAAAGACCGTTAAAAATTCGGCATGTCTGTCATTCGAGGAGGGACAATCTAAACGCGTTATTTAAACATGTTGCGTATCAAAGAACTATCTTTTTTATTTAAAGAAGGGTGATGAGTACATAGGAAGATAAGTACACGTCTCCGTATCATCGAACATACATCACATGACGATATAAATATACGATTTTCATTGCGTTTACTGTTTTTCGAAAGTTTTCTAATCTATACATTCATCGCATTTTCTCAAACATTTACTTACATGAAATTGATCAAGAAGTTATTTCTGTGTGTAAATTGTATATAAATATTATTAAATACGTATTTTCTACTGTAAAAAAAATATTTAGCGGAGAGTATCTTGCGTGAAGGTCACACGTGCTGATTAGAAATCGTTTCGAAGTCAGACTTGATCACCTTCGATTTCCCTCTCTTTCCTTTCCTCTTGAAAGAAGTATCCACATAATTACGGGGTTCCGCATATTATTCGGTGAATCAAGAGGAATACCATGGAGGCACAGCTGCAGCAACCTGTTGCAACTACCCCGAACCCCGGGTCGTAGCCAGCGGGAGGCGTTTGACTGGTCCGAAACCGGGAGGGAAGCTGGGCGAGCGTGTTTCGCGATGGACCGAATAGCGAACCGGGTAGCGAATAATGAGTGCGTGCTTCTTCGGCAAATTCGCGCAGGTGCGATTTGACAGGAACATGCAATGGTAGTCCCGCACATCCCGCTTTGTGAAAAAGCTCTCAGGCACGGCATGATAAACTTGGTAATTTCCATAATCGAAACTTCTCAAAATTCTCATGAGGTAAAATCCGACAAAAAATTTATCCGTATCTGTTTTTACGTTGACATTTAAACTTGTAAACAAACACTGGTGCTTTGTCGCGCTTTTTACTACTATAAATATATATATATTTTATGAACTTTATACTATAATTATATAACTTTACAAGTACTGTCTCAGCTTTGTTAGGAGTGAGCATGCCTGATAAATTCGATTAAGCGAGATAATTCTATGATATCTGATAATCTCCATGCAGGTGGGTCGGATTCTTTTTGAATCAAGATGGAATAATCTGTGTTACCTGTCTACCTGACGATCCGACAATCCGCAGAGGGATGAAAGGGAAAGACGGCGCGGGGAAAGGAAAGAAGAATGAAAGAGGAGGAAGAGGAGGGGAACATGAACAAAGGGCGTATTCACGCGTCAAAAGTCACCACAGCGTGACGATAGGGTGGTCCATGAAGAGAAACCTGTGGGACCTACTTCGGCATTTCAGCGCCACGAGCACTTGTCGCACGGTTGACTGTTTGTTCGCCCGACAAAATGGCGACGCTTTTTTTAGGGACTACATGATCATACTATATCAGCGATATTTGACTTTTCAATTATCGAAACATTCGATTGTTTCGAAATAATAAACGGGTTTAATACGTCAGCGATATAATGCTGGAAATACCTTCCTTCAATTATCTGATTTCTTATTTTTCTTTCTTCATTATTGACAAAATGATATTGATAAAGCGATAATATGATACCGGTAGCTGAGTAATTAATAAAATTTTAAGAGTGAGAGGACAATCTTGCTAACGCATAACACATAACGCATAAAAAAAATGAATCACTCAAAGTCTTCCATTTCTTTTCTTTTTATGAAATAAAATATTCGGATTGATCAATTTTTATACGTTATGCGTTAAGCGATGTTTACAATGAGATTTTAAGGCGTAAAAGTTTAATTAAGTCTTAAGCTTTATTGATCAATCACGGTCGAATATGAGAATAATCGACTACGATTGGTCAATTTCTAATGGCTTAAAAGTTTAAAGCTTAAATTTTATGTCTTAGAAATGTCATTGTAGACGCCGGCTTTACACAAAGGTCTGTGCTCCGACCTCAATATTGAACCCATATATTCTAACATTTAAAACACAAAAATAATATTGTGCGTTGCCATCGCAAGTGGCGTTAGCGACGTATCTTTTTTTTTATCAGGCTCTTGTCCATGAACGGCTCGGTCGAAAAGTCAACGCAGTTACGGCTGGGCCTTTCGAAATACCAAAAAGGCAGGGCGTTCGGAGGAACGCGTGCGAGAAAAAGTCGGCTCTTTAGTAGGTCAACGCCGATGTTGTTCCTTCCCTTCGTCAGGATTACGTCACCCGTGTGCTCCTCCCTCCCCCACCGACTCGCGCTCGCACGCCACCAACGCCAACGCTCATTCGCTCACTCGCTGGTACACGTGAAGATATGATCCGTGTGTGCGCACATAATGTGTAGGTACACGCATCTACCAGGTTTACATGTATACGATACGGGATACTTGTGTGCGTGCTACATCGTGCGCACTTGACCACCCACCCGTCCACCCATTTAGGAAACTAGGAGTCATTTTATCACGTCAGGTATAGCGATCTCGAGTCGTTGCCTGGAAGAAAGGAATCTTTACGATCGCGAACTTCGTGACTCCACTGAGAGACTCTTTCTGAAAGGAAGAATATCTCACGCTTAATAATTCCGCGCTTGCGATATAAATAGATTTAGACTTTCTTCTGATTTGTTTTGTCATATCTGACTCGTACAATTTAACTATTTAATAATCGTGAATTTTCGCGTTTAATATAAAAATTTAAAAGGTATCTGGAGAAAGAAAATTTTCCGCGTGTCACTTCGGGATCGGTGAGCTTACGAGGGGTTTACGAGAGTGTACATGACTATCGCGTTAGAGGGAGGTGACGGGAGGAGGGAAAGAAGGCTATGCGGGTCGGGGTCGAGTCATGCATATCGATGTCGACGTGCATGAATTTTTCATACTCTCCTACGATTTTGAAAGCCGCTCGGTCGCTCGTAAATCCATAAATTCGCCCTACTTGACAGCGAACAAGCTGATGCTGAGAAGAAGTCACCGATGTGCAATATTTGTGATTCGATCTTATGTAAAATTAGAAACAAAATTTTGACGCAAGCGTGTAGGGTCGAGATATCAATGAAATCAGAAAAGTAGAAAGTTAAGAATTCGTAAATGTCAAATGTTAAAACTTTGCTGAAAAAGAATTGGATAATAGTTACCAAATGATGAGTAAAATGTGCGAATCAAACATTCTATTAATAGGACTAGGAATAATTTTATTTTCTTGAATATTTAGTATTGTCAAACAGTTATTATTTATGATAATACTTTACCCATCATTTGGTAGCTATTGCCACACTCATTTCCAGTGTCCGATTTAATTAGTTTTTAACATAAGCTTTATTTTTTAACTACCGTACAAACAAGGGAGTGCAAAATTAGTAATTCGATATACACAAATTAATAAGTCACATTATCTCCAGAGGATCGAAAACATTGAGGAATTAGTTATATAAATTTCATTTAAAATCCAGTTTAGCTGTTGAGAAGTGAAGGAATATCTTAAGACTAAACTCGTGCGGAAAGTTTCCGGGAGTACGCGGAATAATCCATCTATAGAGTTTACGACGGGGTTAACGCTTGAGAGAGATACCGCCTACGTGGTGCGTCCTCTCCACCGATCGCAGTCAGCGCGGTGTCGTCCATTGATAGTTCCCAATAGAGAAAAAAAAAAATACGCTTGCTCGTGGGGCTCGCGCCACGCAAGAGAAAATGGAAAGGAGAATGAAAGGAGACGTTGGCGGAAAAGGTGGTGGAGGAGGAACGGAGGGGGAGGAGGAAGGAGCGTGGTGCGTGGGGGAGGAGGAGGGGGAGGTGAACGAGGGAAGCGAGGAGTGAAAGATATTGGTAATCGAGGAATCCGGGAACTCAGAACCGTTCGAACGGTTGCCGCTGCCGCAGACGCAAGGTCGTTGTCCTTGGGGGATCAACGACCCCTCGACGAGAGGGTGTCGTGGTGGGGGTATCGCGTTCGTCCGCGCTCGCCTCCCCGACGCCGCCGCCGACGTCTGGACATAAGGGCGCCCCCAGGTTGTGCTGTGTTAGAGCTGGGGTTAGAATCAGCCGATAGAGCCGCCACGGTGGTCTGAGTTAACGATTAACCCCGGCTCGATGACTCTTCTTCCTTCCCCTCTAGATTCCGAGTGTCATATGGAAATGCAAATCCAGTTCACTTATTGATAGCGTATTAATAGTTAAATAATAGAGATCCAGCTGATTTGCCATGTTGATGTTGAAGACGTTAACACGACGTCAAAATGACGATAAATATCGTCAGCTTGTTTGCTAGTCGATAGATAGATGAGCTATTTCCTAGAATACGATTGAAAGTATGTAGGAAGAAAAATAGAATCGAGGCAGGAGAGATTAAGAAAGATATTAGCTAGATATGAAAATACTAAAAATTTATCGGAGATTATTGCTCTTCAATAGAGACTAAGTGCCATGGAAAATCTTCGGTTTATTATTTCTGAAATTTTTAGCGAGATTACTCTCTTTTTTCTAGGAGCGATAACGATTTTCTTCCTGGGTTGGAGCCTTTTGCTCCAATCTCTCAGACGGAATTTTTTGTACGTAAGAATTCAAATGTCAGTAGATAGTATCAGTAGAAAGAGACGAGACTTGTGAAACACTCAGTAATCGCCGTCGGGTACGACTGGCCCTTAGAGATCAGGAATAAGGATCGGTTACGTGTACCAAACACAGAAGAGGGACAAGGAGATCAAAGAAAGAGTTTTGAAAGGCAGTTCAAGGGGATAGAGAGTCCGAGTGGTATGAAGAAACCGAGGAGGAGGGTTGGAAAGTTTTATCTTCGGGCCAGAGAGGATACGGCGTAACCACCTGTTGGGGTGGCGGCGGCGGCTCGGCTCTTCTTTGTGACTGTTTATTTTCGGCCGCGAGTTAATTTCGAATATCCTGCGGCTTCTGCGGGTTGATAGCGTGCGCCGGAATGTAGGCTCTCTCGCACAAAGGGGGAGAGGCGGGACAGGGGAGAAGGGGATGATGAAGTACAAATAGCGAGAATAGAATACACGCAAGACGAAGCGCCGGTTACAGAGCGTTCCAGAAACTTACGTCACTCAGTCTGGCTCTTTCATGAATTTGGAGAAGAGTCTCTATATAATAGTCACCATAGTCACCGGATAGAAGAGACATTGTATCTCGACAATGAATAGAATAAATTCAATATTAATAACACAATGGAGAGAAAAAGGTGTCATTCTGATTCAAATCAAGATGTTCCAGATGGGGGAGTTCGGTTCAATCGCGATTCGAATCATACAGAATCCCCGATATCATGGCCCGTCATGTTAACGAAGCGAGAGAAGCGCGCGGGGCGGTTCGGGCCGACGACGTCCTTTCGCGGTCTCGCCGGAAGGACTCGCCGGTGTTACGCTCGACGAAGGCGCGTGAGAGCGCAGGACGATCGAGCAGGGGAAGAACGGGCGTGGATCCTGAGCTGGACACGGAACGCGGAGCGGAGCGGAGCGGAGTAGAGCAGAACAGAGCAGGGCAAGCCAGGCCAGGGAGCAATGTCCCTTCGGAGTCATCATCCCCTTCCTCGCTATCGCGCGTATACTCGCGACGCGAGGTATGCACGCCGTTACTCGCCTCCGCGCCCGCGTGTTCTCTTTCTCTTTCTCTTTCTCTTTCTCTTTCTCTTTCTCTTTCTCTTTCTCGACGCGGCGCTTGCTCGCTTTTTATGGAAGAGCCGTAAGCCGGGATCTCTTCCACGAGAGGTTTTTCTGAGAGAGAGTGAGTGAGAGAGAGAGAGAGAGAGAGAGAGAGAGAGTTTTCCGTCGCTTCGTTTAATCTCTCCACCCCGCGCCAACAATCACGTATATAGAACGGTTGGAGATTTTCTTTTGTAAGTCGTAATTAGGGTGGTAAATAATCATAATGCAGGATTGTATGGAATTATCTTTTTTTGAAGATAAAGAAATATGTAACTCTTAGTATCCACGATTGGTTTATTTGTATCCTGCACATTTCTTTTTTTTTTCGAAAATTAGAAGCATCAAATTATTAGTTATAACATTTATATATTAGGTGTTGGAATTAATTCGTAGCGTTTTTAATGAAAGAATGTTATTTATTTCACATGAGCATTAAAAAATACATTAATGAAAGTACTTCCCATCACTTGTAAAACGCTACGAATTAATTCCAACACCTAATATAATTGTTTGAAAACACAATCTTATAAATACTTTTTAGATGTTAAAGTATATCAGACACTTATAATTTTGATATATTTCCTTGATGTAATATTCGCAATAAAATTATTTACAGGTTTTAAGACGCTCATCTGCATCAAATTATTGAGATCTTTCTAAGATGTTTATGAACATCAATATTATTAAATTGCTCGTCAATTTAATTTGATATTACTACTCTATTAAAAACGCGTTTCAAGAAACTGAAAATTAATTAAATTTGATGCGCAGTTAGCAGAATGCAATATAAATTCACACTGAATTATTAGTACTAAAGATCTAACTTGATCATGTA